GAAAGCAGCAAAGAGAAAAGAGGAATCTGAGCCAAAGGAAGAGACACTGAACGAGGGGATGGTGAAAATGGGAGTGCCTGCTTTTGCCAGCCTGCCAATACGGCATCCTGCAAACCAAACAGAAGCACGTTCCCAGGGTCCTGTCACACCAGACACCAGGCTGAGCATGTCTCGCTGGCGCTGAAGAACTCTGCAGTGAACTCTGTTACTGTGAACATCAGTGAAATAAGTACATTTAGAGTCCACAGCTCCAATGGGGCAAGGAGGCACATCAGGGTGGTCACTTGCTCACCCCAGAATCACAATGAAATCACAGAAAACAAATGCTCAACAAAATAACTAAACAAAATTAGGACTCAGCGGGGGACTAAAGATTATTTAGCCCAAGAATTCTTAATAACAAACAGGGTTGTTTCTTTCTTTTTTGTTGTTTGTTTTTGCTACAAAATAATTAATGAAAAATTTAAAATTTAAAATATCAAGTTTCTATGTGCTTTAGCAGTCTTTAATTCAACAACGCAAAATTCAAACAGTTCCCAAATCCAAACCTTTTGAGAGCTGATGCAACGTATCAAATGGAAATTCCATATCATAAAAAGTGGTTTCATGTGAACATTATTTACAGCATGATATGAAATTATCTTCAGGGGATAGTGAGCTGGCTCAGTAGTAAGGGTGTCTGCCATACAAGCCTGACATTCAACCTACAGAAACGAGCCTGCTGGGCTCGGAAGATAGCTCAGTGGGTAAAGCACTTGTCATGCAAGTTAGAGGACCCGAGTTCGAATCCTTCAGTTTCGCAAGATGCAAAGAATACTGGAGATAGTGATGAAGACACAAGATGGGCCCCCTTAGCACTGCTGACTTTACCCTTCAAAGTGCATGGAAAGCCATACTCAGTAGCATGTGTCTATAATGCTTATGCTCCCATCATGAAATAAGAGGAAGACAAGAGACTCTCTAGACAGCCAGCTTGCCTGGAGTATACAGCAGCAAAACACAAAAGCCTGTCTCACAAGGTGGAAGATAAGGACAGATACCAAAGATCTGCACGCAGAAACATGAGCACAAACATATATGAACAGAGGAAGGAATGAAAGAAGAAAGGCCTGGAGAAACTGTGGAAAGTGTGGCCCAGAGTGTACCCAGGCTCTCCTCTATGCCTCTGCCCCGAGTAAAATGCTGCCGCACGGAAGCTCTCACTCTAGCAGCCTCGGGCTGAGCGTCAGGAAGGCCCTTCCACAGGGGCGCGTGTGTAGTCGAGAGTCAGCTTACCCAAAATTACAAAGCTGCTCAAGGGCAGACTTCAGTATCCCAAAGGTAAGTCAAGAATGAGGCTGGGTTCCATTTCATTCCAGAAGGGACTTTTAAAAAGGGCAAAACTGAGGATCAAAACCCTGGGGACCCCTCAATCCCAATTGACTAGGTAGGTGCCATCAGCCCTGCCTGTTGTGAGATTCCAGGAAGAGAGCTGGGAAGGTTAGGATAGCCAACCAATTCTTATTTGTTCCATAGGCAAAACCAGCAGCGCAGCCCTACTGCTCCCAGGAGGAGCTAGAGTGACTCCATCTCTCTGGCAGGTCTCATTATTAAGTTACTGCTCCAAGCAAGTCCAAAAACAAATGGCTGTCCCTTCCAAATGAAGGGCCAGTTAAAAAACAATGATGTGCTGAGGCAGTCTGATTTCTTGGGCAAAGCTTCCTCAGCTAAGGGATGATGCCATCCTTTATCTTTCTTTAACAGCCCATTTCTGCAGAAATTGAAGGGGGTAGTTGTACTCTCATGGCCTTAGAAACAAGTGACCCAGGACTTGAGATCTAAGGGATGGCAAGTTTCTTTGTGCACTGGGGGTGGGGGAGGATGGGTCAGAAGCACACATTCATTTCACACACCTTCATCGTCTGGGTTTAAGTGCAGAGGAAGTGTGAATTCTGGGTGCTACTTTATAAAAAAAAAAAACCATTGATGCCACATTCAAATCAAGCTATGACAAACTGTGACTTGTGAGATACCCTTTTTACTCTTCTGTTTTACCCTACCTTCTATATAGAGAATTTGACACTAGAACAGCGGCAGCAGACATGGGGGCGGTGGTGAGTACCAACACCTGTCTGTCACAATCACACTGTTGATCACCTCCTAGATGTAGGCCCAGTGAAAGGCACGCTTACAGGAGGAGTAACACGAGGAAGAGGCAAGTGCCCTAGCCATCTCGGCACAGAAGGGAGAAAGGGAAAAGCTGGAACACAGCACCCAGCATTCACATCCCTACTGCTGATACACATACGCACTCACATCCCTACTGCTGATACACATACTCAGAACTTAGGACAGAGCCACTGGAGACATATGAGCCAGGCCTGGTGATAGGTCCCTGAATAACTCTATATGAATGAACATCTGGTTTGCATTAAGAATGAAGGAAACTGACAACACCTTTCCAACTGACAGGATTTTAACAGCTGCAGTTTTTGTCCAAACACAGATGCAGATTAAAGAGAAACATTCCTTAATAGCACCTTCAAACCCAAGACTCAAAGATCAGGTATATCCTTTGGAAAGCTTCAGAATGTCAGTACAGTGGCCAGGCCTGTGGACACTATATATTTATGGTGAACTGAGTGGGAAAGGATTAGTGGGAAAGGATTAGGTCTAAAGCACTAATCATGCTTTAGAATGATTAGTGTGTCTGAGAAATTACAAGGGCAATAAAATGGTTATGAGGTCACTGGGAGGCATGCTTGGCTGAGCTATGAGGTCTGTGTCAGCTGCTTCAGCTGGTCTCTGGGGGAAACCTTGGGGCCCTATTTGGCACAATCTGGCTGGGCAGCCTGAGGAACCCACTCTGAAAGGCTGGTAAAAGTGTCTTCCCCTGTGCAGGGGCAGGATGCAGCACCAGACACACACTCCAAGTCCAGCAGCCTAATGGATGTGGCAGCCTCAACCAGCAGCCTACAGTCACTGTACCAGGGCTGGGCCATCTGGCAGACAATTAGGGTCCACTGTTAGTCATAGTCTTGGCTTGCTGAAGAACATCCCTTACAAGATCTGGAACAAAAGCAGGAGCATCTTTCCAAGATGAAATTGACAAGAACACAGTGTGTAAAACAAGATACAGACATCCATCTACCCATCCCACCCTATGCCACTGCACCTTGGCTAGACCTGGGGTGTGAGCTGATAAGTTTCTTCCCATTTAGTGAACTTCCTAACATAACCTAAAATAAGCAAGTGCAAGTGAGTATGACTTACCCCGTGTTTGTCCCTCAACTGTCCCACCAAAGTGATACTTACAAATAAAGGGTTTCAGGACCCAAATGAACCAAATGTACTACATAAACCAAAAAGAACAAAACAGCTGGACGGTGGTGGCGCACACCTTTAATCCCAGCACTCAGGAGGCAGAGGCAGGTGGATCTCTGTGAGTTCGAGGCCAGCCTGGTCTACAAGAGCTAGTTCCGGGACAGGCACCAAAGCTACAGAGAAACCCTGGCTCGAAAAACCAAAAAAAATAAAACAAACAAACAAATAAACAAAAACCAAAAAGAACAAAACACATAAATAAAAGCATCCAGAGACCTTGGCCTTAGGAAGTCTGGGCCATCAAGGGACATTTTGGCTAGACTCACTGACGTGTGATTGTGGCATTCACTGAGAGTTGCCATGATAATCATTACAAGAGTCAACAGGCTGGGATGAGAGAGTATGCACTGGCTGTAGACTTGCACACAGCTCTCAAAAGCAAACAAACCTCTAGTCCAGCAGTTCTCAATCTGTGGTTTGTGATCCTTTGGGTGGGGGTCAAATGACGCTTTCACAGGGGCTGCATATCAGATATTCATATTACATTCCTAACAGTAGCAAGATTACACTTATGAAGTAGCAACGGAAGTATAGGTTGTGAGGGTCATCACAATATGGGAAACTAAAGGTATTAATTGGTGCAAAGCTCTGCATGACTGTCAGTCACTTAGGTCTGTGGGCATAGAGTCACCACTGCTAGCCCCAGGGTTCAGAAGGCTGGTGAGCACAACGTTCCCCCAGCCTCATAGCTCTCAGCTGGGATGCTCCATAGAGGTTGCAGGTTGTTTTTGTCCCAAAAGGTGTGGGATCTTCTTCACTCTAGCCAGTAGAACTCTGACTCAACCACCACCAAGCACAGTCCCATTAACACCAACACCCAAGGGCTCTGCCTGGAGGTTCCATATGAGTGGCGGTGAGCCTGGTCTATGATACAAACAACAGGCTACATTCAAGTATTTTGAATTCCAGACCAAATGTTCTCCAGTTTCAGATGGTTTTAGCATCTACATAAGAGACAGGAAGAGAGGAAGGTGGATTAGTCCTGTCAGGACAAGAATAGAAGACAGGTTTCTGTTCACCAAGGGTATATACCACACAACTGTGCCTCACTCTGAACAGATGGGACTTGTAAAACCTGTTGGAGAATCTGGATGCTGTATTTAATCATGTGACTCCAAAGATCCATCAGCTATTAAAGACATATCATCATACCAAACGTGGGCCCCCTCTCCTTCCCATAGTGCACTGGACACAAGTAATATCCCAAGTTAGCAGGAGTAAGAATAGCAGCCATAATGGTAAATGAAGACGGTAGCAATAACAACAGCAGCAGCACCATCAAATACCTCCAGAGCATTTCCTAAGGGTCTGGTGCTGCTTTGAGGGGGCCAAATGCACTGTGTGATTTAACTCTGGTAATGGACAATAAGGTGGCCATGATGTCTGACTATCCTTTTACAGACAGGAAACCTTGCTCCAGGTCACACAGAGTGGGGCTTGCACTACATCTGCTGCAGCATGGCCCACAGCTGCCTCTGAATGGCCAGGCTGTCCAGAATGAGGTACACTGGTGGGTGCTGAGAAGAGCAGAAGCACCCAGGGAACACACGAGGGGCAGGAGGAAGACAGAGGACATAGAAACCTTGCTGACTGCAGGGGCTGGCGTGGGTGAAGGGGCCATTCCCGGGTACACTCACCTTCACGCTCCCCACTTGTCTTCATGCTTTTTGAACCACCCTCTGTACCTTTAGCCTTCTCAGTGTCTTCCTGGGCATCTTCAGCGGGCCCTCTCTCCTCGTCCTCCTCCTCCCCAACGTTTTTGTAGTTGGGTCTCTTTTGCATCCGCTTCTTGCCCTTGTGTTTGTTCATCTCAAGGGACCGCTCAAGTGTCTCAGTGGGCTTAATGAAGCACCGGATGCTGGGCTTGGCCTGGGTGAATACAAGAAAGGCAATGCATGATTTGGGATGCTAGAATCTCAATGGGTGTTCACAGTTGCCAGAGGCCCTGCCTCAGCAAGTTACATCCAAAACAGTCACCACTACTTCTGAGCTGGTGGCAGGACTTTTATCAACACTCTCCCCTTCATTATGAAGCAGCTAAAATGCCAGCCACCATTTATGGCTTGCTATTCTAGGCCTGGTGGTGAAGGCTTACAATCCAGGCTACTTAAGAGGTTGAGATAGGATGGTCTCAAGTTCAAGGCCTGCTTGGGCTATAAAGTGAGTTCCAGAACAAGCTGGGTGTTGGAGGAAGGTCATTGGTTAATTATAATAAAGAAACTGCTTGGCCCTCATAGGTTAAAACATAGGGGGGAGGAGTAAACAGAACAGAATGCTGGGAGGAAGAGGAAGTGAGCTCAGAGGCCATGCTCCCCTCTCCCAGGCAGACGCAATCGATGAAGCTCTGACCCAGGATGGACGTAGGCTAGAATCTTCCCGGTAAGCGCACCTTGGGGTGCTACACACATTATTAGAAACAGGCTAGTCCAGGTGTGAGAGTTAGCCGAGAAGAGGCTAGATATAATGGGCCAAGCAGCGTTTAAAAGAATACAGTTTGTGTGTTGTTATTTCCGGGCATAAGTTAGCCAAGCGGCTGGGAGCCGGGTGGTAGGAATGCCAACTCGCAGCTCCTACAACAGCTGGGCAACTCAGTGAGACCCCATTTCAAGAAAAAAGGAAGGCCTGGAATGTAGCTCAGTGGTAGAGTGCTTGCCTGGTATGTGTGATGCCTCCGTGTATTTCAGAATGTGCATGTACACGTGTGCATAAGAAATGTTGCCTTTTACCAGGCCAGCTCTTTGCACCCCAAGCATTAACTGTCTACCTAGCAAATATTCTGGTGTGCTCAGTACGCATGTGGTACTGAGCACATGGGGTGCATACCTAGGGAGACTGAGGCATGAAAATCACTTGAACTCGGGAGCCTTATTAAGGCCAGCCTGAGTAGAACAAGATTCTATCCCAGGAGGGAAAAAAAGGAGTTTATCCATGCAAATACACTTGTCTAAAAAAGGAGCAAAGACAAAAGAAATGGATTTGTCTGGGTCAGGACTTTGATTGAAGTGTTATTTTTCGAGACTCTGAATGTTCAGACATCAATTTGTCACTTAAAAGAAGGTTTAGAATAAACTTTTCCATTATCTTGGCATGGATTATCTATCTTATGAATTTGTCCCAAGCGCCACCAAGTATATTCTGGAGGGAGAGGGACAATATACCTTGCCAATAAGTGGAATGTGCTCAAGGAAAACAGATTAATTTCAATAATGTCCAAAATAAAACCCATTTGAGAGCTAAATTAGCATCCAAATACAAACATTCATTTTTATTTGCCCATTTTGGATTATTCAACCACAAAAATGACAGATAAATTGAAATGTTATTCTACTATCCAGAAAACGCAGACAATACATTACAGAGTTGGGGAATGGGCATCTGAGCATGGACCACTTGCACCGCTTGACAGACTGCATCCATCAGAGCTCAAGCAAGATGCGGTGTGGTAAGTGCAGCCCTGGGCTGCACTCTCCTGGAGATGATTCCAAGATGAAGTGGCTTGCTTCTGCCCATCACCATCTGCTTGCAGTGAGTTTTAGAGCATGCCACACAAAAACAGGGCTACCAGAAACAGAAACTGAGGCCAAACACACACAAACACCTATATACTATGAGTTAAGGACAGAGATCCACATGAATCTTCCCTAAATGCTAAAGGGCTCTAATGTTCAGAACAACTGGCAGAATAGAAGAAAGGAACATAAGGGGCCTAGGGCTGCAAGAATGGTTTGAAGGCCAGAACCACTACCTCATCTCTTTGCCTAAAACACATGCGAAGGAATTTTAGCCTTCTAGAATCAAATGAAATCATGGATAGAAAGCTCCTTCAGATCTGAGCCTTCAGTTCAGTGGTAGAACCCTTGCCCAGAATGGATGAGTACTCTTGGCTGGGTCCTGGTGGGGATGGGGGTATCACAAAGAAGGAGAAGAAGGAAGGCAGACAGAGAGAAGTTCCTTCAGAGAGAGGAACAAACAGCACACATGCAGCACAACAGTAACCCTTCCCTTCCCAGTCTCAAAAGAAAAAAAAAAACAAAGAGAAAAATCACCTGCAAGAATTAATGCAAGGGAAGGAGTGGAGCTCACTATGATCAAAATCACTGTATGAAATTCTCATAGAATAAAAAATGTTTTTTTTTAATTGGATGAATTCAGATGGGTGTAATGGTCCATTGCCTTTAATCTCAACATTCAGAAGGCAAAGGCTGACAGATCTCTCTATGAGTTAGTTAGAGGCTAGCTTGATCTATACAGTGAGTTCCAGGTCGACTGGCCCTTGTCTTTAAAAAATAATAATAAGAAGAAATTCAAGAACTTTCCAAGTGAATCACTTTTCTGGATAGCACTGAAGTGGGGGCAGGGAGTGGGGAAATTTTAAGCATTTTTAAAAATGCAGCCAACCGGCAATAGCTAGAGATACCTAAAGGTCCATGGATGAGGGAGGGTCATACAACCGGCAATAGCTAGAGACACCTAAAGGTCCATGGATGAGGGAGGGTTATACAACCGGCAATAGCTAGAGACACCTAAAGGTCCATGGATGAGGAAGGGTTATACAACCGGCAATAGCTAGAGACACCTAAAGGTCCATGGATGAGGAAGGGTTATACAACCGGCAATAGCTAGAGACACCTAAAGGTCCATGGGTGAGGAAGGGTTATACAACCAGCAATAGCTAGAGACACCTAAAGGTCCATGGATGAGGAAGGGTTATACAACCGGCAATAGCTAGAGACAACTAAAGGTCCATGGGTGAGGGAGGGTTATACAACTCTTGTCAGCCCATTGCTGGGGTGGGATCCATGGAGATCAGTGGTTCTCAACTTTCCTAAGGCGGTGACCCTTTAAAACAGTTCCTCATGTTGTGGTGACCCCCAACCATAAAATTATTCTTGCTGGTATTTCATAACTGTAATTTTTCTACTATTATAAACCATAATGTAAGTATCTGATATGCAGGATATCTGATGTGTGACCCCTATGAAAGGGTTGTTTGACCCCCCCCCCATGGGTCATGACCCACAAGTTGAGAATCACTGATGTAGATGCTAAAGATTGAGGTCCAGGCCAGTGAGATGGTCCAATGGGTAATGTACTTCCTGAGCTGCTGACTGACCTGCACAACCCCCACTTTGGGCTGAGACTGACAGGTCCTAGAACTCAAAATCAGGAATGAACCACGTATTCAGGTCTACCTCCCTGGTGAGTACCAAGTCCTGGCTACTGTTTACAACTATGTCCTCTGTGGGTTTCTGTTTTCTCATCCATCAAGGGCCATGATGTCAGTTTCTCTCTTGAGAGCTGCTGAAGTACAAGAGGCAGCCATACCTTCTGTCACCCTTTGCAGAAAGTGCCTCTCCCCTAATGCAGTGAATACGTGGGAAAGCTCCACACTGTTTTGAGTACTTTGCACACTTGCCTTTCTTTGGCCACCTCACATTGAATGGGAAGATCAAATCCAGAAAGCCTGGCACCAGTGTCCAGCAGATCTCCACTCCTTCCCACAGCATTTGCTATGCTACCCAATAGGCCAGCTCCAGAAGCACTGAAGGACACTGAACCATGATATGGGTGTGGTGGTACATACCTATAATCCCAGCACTTGGGAGGCTGAGGCAGGAAGACTGTAAATTCAAGGTCAGCCTAGGCTAGTTGGAGAGACCAGGTCTACAAGCCAATAAACAGATTTGCACATCTGGCTACCAGGAAAAGCAAATAGCAAGTACTATGTAGAACAAAAGTTTGTGAGTTTAATTTGTTCTGGGTTTCTTGGTGTTGTTGCTGATGTTTTTATTTTTGGTAGAACTGGGGATGAAACTCGAGGCCTCATACATGCCAGGCAAGTGCTTGATCACCAAGTTAGCAATACCCTAGTCCTCAATTTGCATTTGAATCTAATATATACAGAGACAAAAACTCAGAGGCCACAGTTGTCTAGGTTTTCACCAACTGTAATCTAACTTTATTGGTTGTGGCAAGACTATTCTCATTCCAGAAGAAGGTGATGAGAAAGCAGACATCAAACAGCACACACATGTTCCATGCCAAGAGGTTGAATGACATCAGGCTCCTGAGCCCAAACTGCATCATGCATCCAGAATATGTGATTGCAGTCACATCTGATGTGGGATGCCCTTCTGTACATGTGTTGCTTTTATTGGTTGATGAATAAAGCTGTTTAGGTCCATGGCTTAGCAGAGTAAAGCTAGGCAGTAAGTCCAAACAAAGATACAGAGAGAGAGTAGGCAGAGACAAGAAGACACCACGTAGCTGCCGAAGGACAAAGATGCTGGAACATAACCAATAAGCCACAGTCTTGTGGTAATAAAAAGATTAATGGAAATGTGTTAATTTAAGATATAAAAGCTAGCTAGGAATATGCCTGAGCCATAGTTTTTGTGTGATTATTTGGGTCTGGGCAGCTGGGAAACGGAGCACAGGCTCCATTGAAAAATGGTGCCCATGTTGGGAGTCAAACATAGCATGACTAATAAAAACCCAGAGACAGAAGCTGGGGTTCAACTTGAAGGTCAGAAAAGCAAAACAGCCAGCCATGGGTTATTACCTTGACCTCAGTACAAAATGGTGATCCTGCCTCCAGGAAATCTCAGAACGAGTTTGAGACTGAGAGCTGCCTCCTCCCGTTTTATAATCATCTCTAGTTCTGGGATTAAGGGCATGCACCACTACTGCCTGGTTTCTATGGCAAGCTAGTGTGGCTACTGGGATTGATGCCTGGTCTGTAAAGCTGGTCAGTGTGGCTGTTTTACTTTTCTGATCTTCAGGCAAGCTTTATTTATGAAAATACAAATGAAATGCCACTACATACATCAGGGAGGTGATCTGAAAATGCTGCCAAATTTAATGGAGGC